TGTTATATCAGCCTTAAATTTCCTACAATACAAAAAGAAAACTAAACTTCACAATAGGATAGCACTAACACTTACACGGAACAGGTGTAATACCCTAGCCTTTCTAAAGGAAAGAAAATACTATGAAAATCAAGGAAGCCATAAAGGCGTCCTACTATTGTAGGAACGACTGACGATACAGCCCTAAAAAAAGTGTTGATATAGTTTGAGGTTATGTTGTGATCAAGGTATCTCGTTAAAATTTAGCTCATTCCCATCGCTATTTAGAGTAACATTTGGCGGAACAATTTCGTGCGCGTGGATTTTTCGTTCACTGGTGACTCACTACCAGAAACGGAAGCAATGTTTTAACACACAAGTACGTCATCAGCTAATTCTATTTCTAACGAGTAGGCTCCCAACTGCATGAGTAAGAGAGAGCGACAGCATGCTTTCCTTATTATCAAATTTATGTCAGATTCATGTGATTTGATAGGCAGAATGACTACGATTTTACCACAAGATGACCAAAATGGCTGTTCCATCCTTCAGCCTCTTAGTAATAAATGCCCCATCGCCATAATATTGACTTCTGAGTACTTCATTCATTCATTTAATTCTTTATTGGTTCTGTCAGATCATCATCGAGTGTCACACAGTAGAATAATGAAAAAACATACAAAAAATAAATAAGTAAACATAACACAAAATCTCTTAACTAAAATGAACATTGAAATAACGTGATAAATACCGATTAAAATATATACCTAAATATTTCAAAATAGATGGAACTCAAAAAATGTGAAAAATACAAATGGATGGAAAGGTAACAGTTAAACTTAAGGCACATGGCTCCACAGTGATGACTATCATAAATACTATTGTCAGAATTACACATATTAACCGTTTATCCGGCAAGTATTCGTCCAAAGAGTAATATGCTTAGTTTTCAACAGCGGCTCAAGTTCAAGTTTGAAAATATCTAAAAGGGTCATGCAATCTTTTAATTATTATATTAATATAATTATCACTTAAAATGTTGTTGGGATAGTGCCACCTAGGGGAGGTCGGACTGACATATGTGTGCTTGTGGATATTCATAGAAGCCACTTTAGGTTAAGAATAATTTGCATCTCAGACAATTCTCCTTTAATCTGACAAATGGTGTCAGCGAAATATTTGCTTCTCACCAGGACAAGACTCAGTTGACCCCACGTGACAAAGTTGTCACCCTAGTGACCAACGCGTGCGCAGCTATCGACTCATTTCTCCCCACTATGCACTTCACTCTCGGTGAATATATTGAGTTTCTTTAATACAGAAAGGCGTTAAACTATCGCTATTAGTGATCTCATAGGCTACTTGAATCAATCATATCCAATTTCATAGAATAATTGAGTATTTCTTACAGTATTTGGCTTAGGAAAACGAAATATATCGATATCAGTTTTTGAATGCGCAAGATGGATATATATGTCCAACCCAAAAAAGTATATTTTTAATTTTTAATACGAAACGGTGAAAACAATATCGGCACGATTTGACGACATACAAATTGTAAACAAAGATATGTCATCCGTATGTCACTCGTGGACTGAAATTGTCTTCTTAAAATATTTTTAAAAAACTTATCGTTAACGTAAAAAGTTATCGTTTTCTCGTTTATTGAAAAAAAATAATCATGGACGTTGAGTTTGTAAAAGCAGTAAGCATAAGTTTTTTGAAAATTGATGCACTTATGGTTGGCAATTTTTCTGTCTTCAACTCAGATTTCTGCTCTACTGAGCAGAGAAACATCAAGTCTTCTATCTAAGTACAGTGCATTCGATATAATGAAAAGTAAGCATAAGTAATACACTTACATAATCTTTCTTTTTCAAAAGACATTCAAAACTAAGTTCATGTGTGATAACCTCTAAATAATTTTATCTAATATTGTCTTTCATCCTACAAATCTGTGAGGGCATCGTATGGTGGTGATGATGACGAAACGTTAAAATATGCTCAGTAAAATGTAAAGTATGTCCCGAACATAGGGTATGCTCCAAGCAATACACAGTATTGCGTATATTTATATATACTATCTAAGATCTACTTGTTCAAAAAGTGCCAACTAGCCTATTCAGTACGCACATCCATTGGCAAACTTGAGCTTTTTAATAAGGTCAAAGCATTGATGAAAGGTGAAGGTTCAGAAGTCTTTTATGCCGGCTCATTGTGGCTACAGCAAAGAAGTTAATGAGGATCTGTTAAGATAAGTTCCGCTGCTTTTATTATGCACAACAAGCGAGTTATCTTCAGTCACAATCAGAAAGCGGGAAATAAGCCGAACCTCAAGATTTTTATTTTGTTTGGACGTTTTTGCGAAAATTGTCGCTAGAAAATTCTGTAACTTGAGTGTTATTTTCATATGGAGTTGGCTTTTATTGTGTTTTATAAATTTTATCTGATATGCCACATCTGTGGTATACTGAAACAGTGCGAAATTGTAGCGTATGCGTCGCATGTTGATATAACCTTAACGTATGCAGTTCACAGACAAACACTATTATTCAGATCTGTGAGAATAAATTAAGTGGTTCCACCTGTAGGCAGTATATTTACATCAGAAAGTCTAATACTGTTCTACCTTGCATATTCTGGTTCGTATATAGCAAAGTTTCTGTTGATTTAAACACTTTATGTTACTGCGGTTATAACTACGATAGTTTTGGTGAACCGTCAAGCAATGTATTATGTTACATTTAAATAATACTTCTAAAGGGTGTTCCATACTTAAATGTACATAGTAAAATGGTAGGTAGTATGGACCGAGACCTTTTTATATCTGAAAATAAAAAAATCCTAAATGCAGAATTTACGGTTATTGTCTAAAAACACCAAATCTTTAATATCACATATCTCAGGTACCATTAAACCAGTTCATTTGTTGAAATTTCAAGGGTTGTCAACTTGGTTTCATCAAAATTATACAAAATAATACTTAAAATTGAACTACAGATGTTTTGGAAACTCAACATTTTAAGATCGGACTCAGTTTTCTTTATTTCCTTGTATTTTATAAAAAAGGAAATGACATCTAATATACAATTCCACTAAGTTTGGCTGTCCAGATCGAATAAAAATTAACTAAAAAATTCACAAAGCTTAATATACGGTTCCGAAGTTGACATTTAATTGTGTGATGTACTATGTAACTTTGTAAATCTAACGTAGGGTTGTGGTGAGAACGCGTAAGCGTAACTATGCTGAAAATTTCAAGTCCGGACCTGTATAGTAGTAGAATCAACTCATTAAAGAACCGCCGAAAAAACTAAATAGGGTGCAGAACATTAATTTTTACTTCTATTTATATCATGAATGACTTTTTTTCTGCGAAGTAGTAATGACTTCCGAGTACAACTTACAGATACGAGATACGAGTTCCCAAAACATCTCTAGTTTAATTCTAGGCATTATTTTATAGAATGATGATGAAACCAAGTTTGTGTCACACAAAATGCTAAGAGTAAGATGTTTGGATAAATAAAAATGTTTAACTAAAAAACCAAGAGAGGCGCAACCAGTCCATTTTGCTAACGTGTTAACGCGATTTATTGGCTTTTTATGTACATATTCAAACATTTCAATATCCTGCCTTTTGATAAAAACAGCAACCATTCAAAAACCAAGTTTGGTTTTTTAACCGTTCGTGCCGTTTCACGTTAATCCTAGGTAACTCTGGTGTCGCTCAAAATTTCAACAAAATAGGTTCAATTGAGCGTGAGATATGTAATATCAAATATTTGGCCTGTTACATCACCTTATATATCAGTAAAAACTTTTTATTTTCGGATTTGAAAATGTCTCGCTACAGACTATCTACCATGTCAGTATGTGCACTTAAGTACGGCACAGTGTATATTTTTAAAATCGGTTTGTTATTTATGTTTCCCATTTTCTTGTTAATTAACCCTTCACGGCCGGATTTACCTTTTTATTATGAAATGTTTCATTTTAAATTAAGGGCGTTTTGAAATTATAAAACGACCTTTAAAATTTCATACATCTCGCCAGTACTACACAACCAGCTAAGGGAAGTATAAATGGCAGCACTGCGATAATAATACCTGTCTAATCAAGAGGTTCGACTTGTAACTTGACTTTCTACTGCCGAAATTACACACCGTGTAGTCTGGTAACATCATTGATTAAGGTAACTCTAAGCTGATGCTACTATTTGCTGTGAAGCCCTACTGGGTAATACTTATTGTGTATTCTTTCCAGGAAACTAGGGAACGCCTGTGATACACCAATTCCGATGTTTAGTATTATTAGACTAATATGACGCGGAGATAAAAATGAATTATGAATTATTAGCTCCAAGTTAATGAGCAGTAAGGATGTTCCATTATTTGGAGGTTTTTAGCAAAACAACCTTTGTTGTGCTTAATACAAGGTCCCATATCCCAAGTTCAGCGTTTCCAAACGCTACGTGTAACTATCACTGTTACTCTCATCAGCTGAGATATTTTGTGGGCTATTATTTCAGTCACGATCAAATGCCCAGACACACGCAACTGGTAACTGTCTTGGTAGAATAGAAGGTCATAGCACGTCTGTCAATTTCAGATGAATCGATGATGTTAAAGAAATGCGAAAAATGTAATACGATAGAAAGCAATCCTCAATAGCTCTGGTTGCACACATAAACGTTTTGTCTATAATTGATTCAAAAATCACATTTTGAAAGGTAATAAGTCATTTGCGAGACGTGCTGTTAGCTCTAAGCAACAAATACGGTGAATTATTTCAAATATCGGTGAGTGTGCACATTGTATATTGCTTGCACATCCACCGGAAACTGAAGTGACATTTTATTCAATATGTTTTCGCTCATTCACCATAAATGACAGTAATGGCAACCAAAATTGTTATCTTTTCCATTAGACTTCATATATTAAAGAAGATATCTCCTAGAACTCTGAGCTATAGCAATACATTGATATCTAATCGAAAATGGATCCATTTGGCAAAAGGAACGAGAATGAGTGGGAAGGACTCAATTCACTTTAATATATTTTTTCTTCCGATAGCTGTGAAGGCAGATGGAAGTGTCTGTTGATTGATGGTTGCTGAGTTAATGTCACGGTATAACGTAGAATTTGTTATTTTTTCATAGCATAGCATAGCAATAAGTATATGGGAGGTGTGGTGTATCTTGTAGTCATTTGAGTTATTTAGTTTTAGCAGTGATTTTCCAAGGAGATGTCCAACCATTAGTATGTTTACTCATAATTACCTTTGTCGTTGGATTGCAGTAATTTTCTCAGCAGTATCATTTTGCTTTTCAAGAAAATCGTTAAAATGAACATCTTTGCTTTCCGTTTCTGTAGACAGCGCTGTTTCACGCTTCGATCTAGCCTTGAAGACAGGCGAAACGGGAAGGCAATACGTGGATATGTTGTTTTGAAAAACTGAACATTGCACAAATAGGAGAAAATTTGGCCATCAATGGTTTGCCAAGGTGATTTTCAGCCTCACCTCATAACTTACGTCGTCTTCAGATTGAAGTAATTGGCTATTTTTTTTACCGAAAGTGGAAACGTCAATTTTATTCTGAATTCAATGACGTACCTTCAATTTTCTCCACTATGCATTTGTTGTTCTCCAAATGCAGATCAATAAAGTACGCATATAGGAAATCGAGTTTACTCAATCAGCGTTTCCTCATTATCGAAATCATTTCTATATAATCGTAATAATAAATGCTGCAACTTTCAAGTTTCTTTTAGCAAAATTTAGTATGTTAGGAATACAGATCAGCAGAGTAAGCGTATTAAAATTGAACAAGACAAAACAGGCGTTTATAGACAGACTAAAGCTTCTTGGCTCCAATCTGTGGACGCGAACCATCTAGCAGTAAAAAACCCATGAAGCAGCTTGAGCGCGTATAGTGAGGTCGTCAAAAAAAAAAATAAAGAAGCTGCTCTATTGCAAGTATCAGACAAGTGATTGGGTAAAAAACTGATACAAACAGTTTAATTTAATTAAAATATTCATACATAAAGCTTTACAGATCGAGCCAACAGGCAGACGGCAAACAGGGATAAGTAAGACCACCCCCGAGGTGTAGCAAATATATGACTTTTAGATGCTGATTTGAATATAGCTACCAAGTTCGGTGATGTTATTTTAAATCAATCATAGAGCAAAATGAAGCATATTTTGGTCCTCATAAGGCAGATTGCCCATTTCTTATATGTAATATCAAGCACAAGCGTTCCATAATGACTCAGATGCTAACCGATATGCTTTTAATAAAGGCAAGTAACGGCATCGCCTTGTATCACTTCTTTCAGGATTTGTCTTTGCCGCCTGATACAGTTTAAGTCGACTGACTGAGCTGATTGATTATCTATGAACAGGAAACTGAAGCGTCAGTTCTATTCTTAAATCAGTGCCGTGTCATTAAGTCTTCCGTCAAATTAGTTGGGTTATCTGTATCCGCTTCTCCTCTTGCCAAAAGCATTTTCTTGCTGACCCAACAGTCGTTTCCAGTCGACTGAACGTTTTTGGCTGCAACCTGTGAGCACGAGCTTCAACAGGCGGACAGTAGAACCCCTGTCTATAAAACCATAAGCGCTTGTAGATTAAATCAGCGAACATCTCCATTGCATTCAATATCAATTAGTGCATCTGGATTAATATACTCTGATACAGATAGCCTAATCTGATTAGGATCTCCGACATATCAATTTTTCAGACCGAACCAACAGACATTCGAGGAGGGGCGGTCTGTAATTAGCACGGCATGCATCATCTGCAAACAGGGATGAGTCTGAGCCACCTCTACATGATGACGTACGAGTATGATTTATAGGTAGGCAAGCGCATTTGGTACGACAAACAGACATGAGTACTTACCATAAAACTTAGCGGAACGCTGCGAATCGGCAAGACGTGGCTTGGTATGTTCACCGACTGCAGCACTGTCATACTTCTCCGCAGCCACGGCGGAAGGCGACTGGCTTCAGCGTCGGCGTCGCGACGCCGATCAGGAACGACGCCGCATCGGAATTTGTCGGCGTCGTGTGGCTGCGCCGCTGGTCGCTGCCGGCTGGTCGATAGCCGCTTAGGGAAGATGTACTAACTAGAACAGTAGTGTCACTGCCGAATATCACAGTGCTTGACTGGATTATCTCGTTTATAGATAATATACTTTTGAATAGAACGTTCAAAGTGATTATGGGAAAGTTGAGTGAAGAAACGGAATAGTGTTTTCTGCCAGGGACGTGTTTTGGCACCACTTCTGCTTAGTTCTTAGTTCGTAGCTTCAATACGTAATCTAAGGAGTTCGGCTACGCAGATAACTGGGCAATAGCCACTCAGGGACAAAATCTTGAAGAAACTGAACTAACACAGGCAGGAATTCAGACTGATAAGCCGATCTATGCTGGAGAGCTGGAGAAAAGAAGACTAGCAGCGACTTCCACTCTGACGAGATATCTCGAGGTTATCACTGCTTGGGGACACAACAATCTGGCATAGTTTAATGTTTTCAAAGCACAGTACTGTACCTTGACGAATAAGCAGCGTCCTAGCCCTCATCCGGTTTGAACTGATTACCGAGTTCAACCAAAGACCCGTTCATTTCGGCTGGTCGGAGTTCAGGTTACCGAGGTCTTGTTCTGGCACGAACACATCTCTCTATGTTTAAAAGCTAAGAATTACTTTTCTCCACATGACCTCCACACTCTGTAGAATGCCCAAATAAGACTGCCTTCATGTTTGGAGTGAGCGCTGCCGCACCGACTACATTGTTCAGAGGAGTGCTGTCCGACTGAACGATGATTCATCTCTGACGGACAGTCTCGGGAGTCTTTCGCACCGGCGGGCGGTCGGCGATCTAGCTCTCTTCTACTGCTACGCCACCGCGCAATGTGCCTACCAGACAGACCCGTCTCGCTAACAGTGTCGAACTTTGTACATTCAGAGGCTTTTCCCAGATCTACTAACTTTAGGCAGTTCAAAAATCCGATTAACAAAATTTCTTTAAGCTCTTCATTGCAGTCATGATCCCCTGGTACTTAAGCTTCTGCCTGCGCAGCTGCTTCGTTGTAAAAAAATATCCCTAACAGCTGATTTAGACATTCTTGTAAACTATATACTTTCAAGAGCGATGGCTACAGCCAAACACAAGGAAGATAGAGGTATGCTGTTTTCACTTGATCCGCAAAACGGCAAGAAACTCAATCTGACTCGTATCCACATTCAATTCTCGAAGTATCTAGGTGTCATATTTAACAGAACGTTGGTATTCAAAGAACAAAGCCTCATGCTAAAATCGAAACACGGAACAATGCTCTCCACAAGCTGTGCGGTACTATTTGGCAATCGACCTGGTCTTTTTGGCATCTGAATATGCCGAGCTTGTCATTGAATTAGAACAAAACAACACTATGGGGAGTTATGTCAGTGCATCACAAAAGACATCAACTCTTCGGGAAATAAAACTAGAATCGAGGGAGTTCATTATAGTCTAATCATACTAGCAAGTTTCCCCGAAATAATTGTAAGTTGTTCAAGGGGGTATTTAAAACATGGACTCAAAAAATGGGTACACCAATTTTTGTTGGAAAACTTTTTATTTGACAACATAGAATGAAAAAACGCGTTTTTTGGGATTCAATCGAAAGTGGTAGGTATTCATGAGATCTACAAAATGAGACCACACGAAAAAAGATCCAACTAATAGCAAAGAAACTTATGGCCGAACACCGAGGAAAAATGCAGGTTTTGGCACTTGGTGATGCGACGATAATTTCATGCAACTACTTGAAATTTTTCAAATCCTTAGGATTCATACATCTAAATAACAACAACAAAATTGAGTAAGTAGTTTTTTGAGAATTTATAATTGTTTATCCCAAAGACCTGTTTTCCGGTCAGCACTAGTAGTTTATTGAGCAATATACACGGTTCGTTCAAAGAGCATTTAATAGCAAAATACACGTGTTTACCTATGAATCATAAGCCATTCAGAAAGATAAATGTTATTTTTATGCGAAAAACAAAGGTTACGTTTTGTTCTTCTAAACAAATTGAAACATTTCGCATTTGTGAGTAACTGAACAAATGTTTGCGAATTACTCAAAAATACGAAATGTTTGAATTTGGTTAGAAGAAAAAACGTAACCCATCCTTTTTAGCATAAAAATAACATTTGTCTTCCGCAATGGATTGCGACTCATATCGGCAAGGTAAACTAGTGTATTTTGCTATAAAATGCCCTTTGAACTAACCCTGTATATTCCTCAATGAACTAGTAGTGATGGCCGGAAAACAGGTGTTTTGGGATAAGCAATTAGAGATTCTTAAAAACAACTTGACCAATGTTGTTATGGTTATTTAGAAGTACGAATCCTACGAATTTGAAGAATTTCAAATATCTGCGAGAAACCATCGTCGCATTACCAACAAGTGCCAAAACCTGCAGTTTCTCGGAACCTTTTAAGAGTGGCCGCATTTTGTAGCTCTCACAAATACCTAAAAATCTTATTAAGTTAGCATTTTCGTTCCCACCAGCACTTTTGATTAAATCCCAAGAAACACGTTTTGACATTCTTGGTTGTCGAATAAAAAGTTTTTCCACAAAAATTGGTGTACCCATTTTATGCGTATATGTTTGTAAGCTTGAACAACTTGTAGCAATAAAACCAGACTTTACAATTATTTCTCAAACCAGGGGTATTTTCATCTAATATGATTAGACTATCATCATCAACATTATCGGTAGGAAAAATGTACCAACTGGTACAGAACACTATACTCCCGGATTGGATACTGTATATTCGAGGAGCAAGTTACAATGAGTCCAAGAGGCTGAAGTGCCTTCGGCGACTTTGGTCGGACAGCCCCAGAAAGGAGAAGACAAAAAACAACACAATGCATTATACGGTCTACACGCACTTGATGGCTATCTGTGCAAAGCCATATTCTACCACCAAATTTTCGAAGACGTTTTTAGGGGGAATACAAAAAAATACCAGTAACCATCAACAATAGTCTGTTATGCAAAATCCACCCTGGATTGTAGTGCTGTTTGTAATTTAGGGCCGTATTGCCAGTCGCTCGTACAATTGCAGGATGCTTTTATGGCCTCCTTGATTTTCATAGTTTTTCCTTCAGAAAGGTGCTCTATTTTGAGGTTATGTTGCAAATATCTATTTACGTTAAACTGTTTATGCTTTTGATTTTTATTATCTGTTTTATCAGCCTGAAATTTCCTGCAACGCAAAGCAAAAACATAACTAGGGGAGCGTTGACGCTGACACCGAACAGCAGAAATCTAAAAATACCCCAGCCTTTCTGAAGGAGAGAAAACACTATGAAAGTCAAGGAGGAAAATCAAGGAGGCCTACAATAATTGTAAGAACGACTGACGATACGGCCCTAAGTAACTCCTAGTGCACAAAGATCGGATGTATCGATTACGCCATCGTTTTTTACAATTGCTGTGATGTCATACGATAAATAAGTAGGTAAGGTACGTAGGCGGTCAAGCTGGTTTCCCAAGTCCATCTTTTCGCTTGAGAGGCAACCGAGAGGAAGCCAGGGATACTGTGCTCGATGGTAGGTGGCTGTATTGCCTCGTCGTCTAGATTGGCTAAGCACTCTAAGATATTACGTTTTAACGAATGAATTCTTGGGCTAGCAACTGATAATTTTAGTCTGCCACTGCAAAAAGATGGGATCCTGGACCTTCTCGACAAAGGAACAGGCGGGTCGGTGCCGGACGAACACCGATCTGGTCCCGTTTCCTTGAAGGAGCAAGGTGGTAGATTTCCCACTGCCCACAGAGCCTGTAACTGGCGCTGGTTAGCGACGTTTCTTCGGGTAATGTTGGACGGTAGATTAACGTGGGATCGTATATTGACAATATTTATAAAAGGTCAATGGCCAGCGTGTGGTAGCTACGCCACGTCCTCAGCAGAACGTCATGTTCTTCATTAGTTATACAAAACCATCATTAGAACCAGAATGGCGTGGTAGCTACGCTGTAGTAGCCCAGTATCCGTAATGAGGATAAGGTGAGAAGTTTTAACATGGGCACACATCTTGCTTGTCCATATGACAAGTTCCATTTTGTTCCCTCAAGTAGTTTGTCTACACGAATTTTTGTAAAACACGCCAGTATGGTTTCTATTTAAATGACTAAAGTTAAATTCTGTCCTGTTATCAAATTTCTTGTATTGGAAGGATTGATCCCTACCTTCGATTTCGAACAGAGAGGTTATTTTTCAACAAGGCTACAAATTTGTGTTAGCAATGCAATGAGTAAACTGCTGAAATTGGTATATGATTTACTGAGTCATCTTCCCCGTTCTTCTGATTTGGTCGATCTCCGTCTTTTGCAAAATTTGGAGAACTTTTTCTGGAAAGCGCCTCGGGTCCGATGAAGTTAAGAGGATTGCAGATAAACACTTTGACATCCTTCCAGACTACCCCTTCCAATAGGGAATCTTAGTGTTGAAAAGCATTCACTGAATAAGCCAATACTTAAAGAATGGTTGCTTGAGAACAATGCCAGAGCTACCCCATACTGATTTGACACTTTTGAACTGCTGAATTAAAACAAGTGGCTTTCTAAAGCCGATATCTGTTCTGTTCCAGGAGTACATCACAGGATAGAACGGTTATTGGCGAATATTACTACAACCTCTTTGATCAGCTGAATGAAAAACTGAATGGAACATAGCCTCTTTTGAAGAAGAAACGTATCATTTTCCGTTAGGACGACGCTCCTTTTCACAAAGCATCGCAATCGAAAAACTGTGGAATTGGGGGTATGATTTTCTTAGCCATCACCGTCTGTTGCCAAATGTGAAGAAATTTTTCTGGAGGGCGCTTCGGTTTGATGAAGAAGTTGAGAGGGTCGAAGATGAATATGACAACAATCCAGACCAATCCTTTATTTTTAGTGTTGGAGAAATGTTGGACCAGGTGTCTTGGAGTTGAGAAGAATTCACGTTATCCTCGTAGGGAAATATACAGAGACTGGCGACGTTGGGAATCACAGTTACGTGAGAACGATGGTGCTGCCCCCAAATACACACCTGGATCTGACACATTTGGGCTCCTGGAACAAACCAAGTAGCTTTGAAGGTGGTAATTCTCAACCCGCCATCAGTTCTGTTCCAAGGGTACATCACAGCCCCTCTAGACTAGCTTTTATGTGCATCCCAGCACAGTGGTGACCAGTCAGCTGGATAGATTAGGACCCAAGAGCTCTGCAGCTCATCTGTACCTGGTCCAATAAATTAACATTCGGTGCCCAGACCGACACCGAATGCTGTCGCTGTTAACCAAATGCTTCGCTCACCTTTTATGTTGAAATTTCCATAAATCTCATAAGAGCAGGAAACACTCTGTCTGTACCAAACGCTCCGAAGAGGATGTACCATTATTCCATTTTCTCAGAATGTGTATCATGTATTAAAGCTTTGGACCTATATTCGACGTTACGGTTTTTGATTGAGAAGAAACCTTGAAGTAGGCTAGGTGGTCATTGTGAAACTCCTGTAAGGGTATGGTATATTGACGTCAAGTTTTGGTTGCTAAACTAGTAGCTTCATTCTTAGGATATGCCATAACTAAACAAGTTTCTTCCAAGGGCCAAGTAGTAAGTACGTAACGGTAACGGTACCGTAATGGTTGGAACCGATAATCATCGAAAAAAAAAGTAATTTCAGGAAAGGTTGACAGCTTTGCTTAAGGGAAAGAGAAATGTGTGAAAAGTTTTTCTACAAGCGACTCTAGTTTTTGTTGTCTGTATACTTGGGTTACGGATATGAGGAGCTGATTTGACGTTGGTGGTAGCGTGGTCGTATGCACCATCGAAGAGGTTTTGTGCCCACATTATGATAGGACCTGTTACCTCTTATTAACTCAATAATGTGAATATTTCTCCTTGTACCTCAAGTGCATATATCTGTTTTAGGTTTTTGCGACCATCACTGCAACTGGCAGTTTTTGGGGTCGCACTGAACGAAGTTCTTATATTTGCCAGCCAGGACATATTTCTTCAATGTTGTCCTGTATATCTCGTGTCCAGGCTAAGAAAAGCTTTTGGGAAGAATATCCATGGGGCTGTTTCCAGGGAGGCTAGAGTTATACCGCGTTGGCAGTGGTAAACTCCGTTTTGGCATGCCAGTATATCGTGGATATCTCTATGCGAAGAGATACGAGGTAATGCTGTAGCGAGTCAAGCTCCAACGGAAAATTGTTCATCTCCTTACAAATTTTTAGGACAGCTTCTAATATAATTAGCGCCTACACCAGCTGAACGGATTCAATATCAACGCCAACGAACCATCTCCGGAAGCTAGCTCACCTTGAGCACAGTGGCTAGGAAGGGGAGGAGCAGTGCTTAACCAGTGTTATCGTTTATAGACTTACTGACTTTTCAGTTGTGTAATATCAGTGATAATATACTATACAGGGTGACTTCGAAGTTGAGTCATTTATTTTAACAGTGAGTAGATCTGATCAAAAGAAATGTGTTTTTCCTTTACCATTTTTCTGGTAAAATTAAAGGAACAAAGTTATAGCCCTTTGGAAGTTTGAGTACCGCCCTGTCTAAATAATAATAATATGTGTTTGGCAACAACAGATATCGGTTCATCGCATCGGAAACAAAAAAGCGAAAGAATTTGAAACGTTTATCACGTTGTTTTTCGTCAGTCGGTAACGCGTGGGTGAATAGTGATGTTTGTTGCGTGACTCAAACGAAATGAAAAATGGCACATGTTTACGAAAATGCTGAACTTGTGGACATGATTCTTATTTACGGGGGGGCAGTCTTTACAAAATGCTGCCCGGATGCATCACGGATTTATGCGAATCGGTCTCCCAATCGAGTGCAACCAACCCCTCGTGCCTTTGTTAATGTAGTACAAAGGGCTCGTGAATCAGGTGACTTAAGACCTCACAGGTGAGAGCATGCCGGTGCTCCAAGACCGCACGATCAAATACAGGTCCGCACTGAAATACTTGTCGGGAGGATACATTATTAAACAAGGTAACATTTTTTTTTTATTTTTACACACATATTTTGGTTTATCTTCCTTCTACAATCATTATCTGAAAATTAATGACTCAACTTCAAAGTCACCCATATATTGGAAATATATAAATTTGTTGATGTTCTAGAAATGGCCAAAATCGACGAGCAAACGTCATCGAGGCTGCAGATCCCAGGGATCAACGCAAAAAATTCGGGGATGAGGGCAGCTCTCTGCTGGCAGTCTGCATTTATTGCTGTCACAGTGTGGCTACCCCTATGAACGAATTTTTGCTCATCAATGAGGCTAGAACATTATTATTTCCTGACAGAACAACTATTGCCACGCAATAAAAATAACGAATGAATGCTGTTTTCTTAAGATCATTTATTATGTTCGATGTGTCTCCGAAGTATCAACTTATTAGAGTTTACTGTTCACATTCAAGAATGCAATTATTTCAGCTGCTGCTCAATAGATGGCGCTGCAAATTCCTCGTTAACAGACGGTTCATATATTTCAATGACTACCTGGAGCAACTGTTCAAGCGTTTAGTAAACCTCAATCAGAAGAAGGGGGAATTTTTGTATGTCGAAAAAACAAAGACGAAACATTTGCTTTCTTGTTTTCATAACAAAAATTGGGGATTTTAAACCCCTTCACGACCATTTAAGTTTCTTGATTTCGAAGGATGCGTTTAAATTGAGCCACCCAAACCCCGACCAACCGCCCCTACAAGATTGTTTTAGCCTAGTTAAATTTTGTAAGCCTTGTGATAATAAGGTCTTAAAACGTCATCTATCAGATGTTCGATGTAGCTTCAGAGTATCAATTTATTACAGTTTACTGTACACATTCAAGTATGCAATTATTTGAGCTACTGCCCAATAGAAGGTGCTGCAAATCCCTCGTTAACAGACGGTTCATATATTTCAATGACTACCTGGAGCAACTTTTCAAGCGTTTAGTTAAACCTCAATCATAAGGGGGAATCTTTGTATGTCGAAAAAACAAAGACGTAACATTTGATGTCATGTTTTCATAACAAAAATTGGGGATTTTAAACCCCTTCACGACCACTTAAGTTTCTTGATTTCGAAGGATGCGTTTGAATTGAACCACCCAAACCCCGACCAACCGCCCCTACAAGATTGTTTTAGCCTAGTTAAATTTTGTGAGCCTTGTGATAATAAGGTCTTAAAACGCCATCTATCAGATGATAGCAGGACTGAGAAATTCAACTTTTTGGTGGGAAACTGTAAGTTAAATCTTACTGACTGATAAGCTATTTTAGGAAGGAATCTCATTTTGAATACCCTCACGGCAATTTAAGTTTGATATGCAAGTGTACTTACCACATTTTTTGGTACCCACGCGCTTTCATCACCTTGATATGATGTATTGTTGATGAATATTTGTTCATATGAGTAACCACACTGTGGCAGCTTCAAATAAAAGCTGCCAATCAGAGAGCTACCCTTATGCCCAAATTTTCTATGTCGACCATAATCATTCGTAAAAGGCCGCTGATTAATCACCTGAAAAAATAAATATATTCTGGACGTTCGTACAAATCTACAAATACGTATTGATTGGTCAATATAAAATAATCACACAACACAACATTCTTTGGTATAGATGATCCAAAAGGGTATACGATTAATTTCACTGCACTTTTTACGTGCGAAGACTTCCCCATTCTAGGTGTACGCCGAGTTAACTTCACCGGACTATATTGCTTAGTCCGGTCGACGGTACGGCTACTGCCATTCGAGGTGCTTGCCCCATGAAATTTTCCTGTTAATTCCACTGAACTATTTACGTTAATACGCATAATGGCAACCACTCCCGCAGGGATATTACGTAAAAGACCTATAAAATGTCAAAAAACGACAAAATGTCAACTTGCAGACTAAGCAGTGAGCGTCGCCCGCAGCGTGACATAAGGAGGAATGACAACAACATGGCAGCGCGCTTTGCTGGTTGCATAATGGCGAGATAGTGTGAAGTATATGTATCTGAGATGTGAAAGGACGAGAATTGGTTGAGTAGCAAGGTCGCATCTAGATGATTGTTTGCACTGGTCTGCATGTGTATAAATTTAGTAATATTTGCTGTGTTAGAAAATTATTACTGAATATGCTGGCCGTGAAGTATATCTATTAGCTGTGCCAAATGGATTATATTGGTTAATACGGTATTTTTTAGAAGAGAGGTCATGTTCAAAGTTATATCTACGGCTTTATTTCAAAAAATTGTAAGAGATGATATTAGAAATATAACGATAAGCGTAAAAACAACAATTCCACCTTACAAGCGTTCGAAGTTCTACCCTGTACCTTTTCACTTTTATTACGAGAGTAGTACATACACAACTTAACAAGGGCTTCAATGTCAGGAAAATTTTAAAGCCACTTACTTGGTGACGCTAACGACAGGGGAGTTGTTCTTCCTTGGCGAGAGATACGGCCGCTAGAACTGGGTTGTCGGGGCCAAGCCTATTTTTAAGAAAAATCTTTTGAGTACCTTCCATATTCTACCGATTCATGACATGCACAACTCTACTGTCTATTCATTATATTAATTAGCTGTCTCAATACTGATCACAAAACAATATAATAATGGCCATCATATTTCTCGATTATATTATTATAAATTACAATATACTAAGTGGCATATAAATCCGAACACCCAGTTTAAATGGTTTTATTTTAATAAAAGTTGGTGAATGTATTTATCTTACTGTAAATAACAAGTGAAAAAATTTTCAGCCCTATCAGTTGGACATTCCGGTTTTTATACTGCTTTTTTTAATTCACTAATGCTCTAAAAATGAATATTTCAGCCGCAGTAAAGAATCAACGTTGGCGGATTTTGCTTCTTGACATCCTGTACGATCGGTTACGATGTCTAGAGTACGGAGACCTGTACGATTTCGTCAACATAGTGAGTTTGATAGGGGCCGTATAGTGGGACTTCGGGAAGCTGGACTTTCTTTTCGGGCAATTACAGTTAGAGTGCAAAGAAGTAGACACTGTGGTTAGGTGTTGTCAGGCATGACTTCGAGAAGGCCGTACGCAAAGAGCAAGGGGCACTGGACGCCGCCGTACAACAACAGACCGTGAAGATCGCCGCCTAAGATTATTGGCCTTAAGGGACCGTTTCTCCACTACCAGGTCCATTGCAAATGAATGGTTTGCAGAACACGGAAGACCTATTGACATGCGAAGTGTTTACCGACGAATGAGAAGTTTTGGCTTGTTTTCATACAGGCCACACTGGGTCCTCCCTTTAACTCGAGAACACCGACGTAATCGCCTTGAGTGGTGCAGACAACGGTCACTCTGGGATCAGGAATGGAACAGTATTGTCTTTAGTGGCGAGTCTCGATTTTGTTCATCACACTGTTGGAGTTATGGTTTGGGGTGCTATAGCTTATGGTTCCTGGTCACCTTTAATCTTCATCAGAGGTAACATGAGCGCGCAGCGTTATATCCACGAAGTTCTAGAACCCCATCTTTTACCCTATCTTGACACCCTGGCAGATCCAACTTTCCAACAAGATAATGCCCGACCACATGTTGCAAGAGTCACAATAGACTTCTTTCAACATAATGATGTCACATTGTTACCATGGCCACCAAGATCTCCCGACTTATCCCCAATTGAGCACGTGTGGGATATGATGGGTAGGAGATTGCTTAATTTGAAACGTCCTCCTCAGACGCTAGAAGCACTTCGAGAGGAGTTGGTGGTTGCCTGGAATGAGATACCACAGGAGGACATTGACCACCTGATCAGAATCATGCCTAGGCGCGTTGGAGAATGCGTAGCACATCAGGGTGCATCCACACATTATTAAAGGTCAAAGGGCTTTAAAGCAGTGCAATCATTTTGAAATTTTTAGCATTTACTTATTATGCTTTATTAAGTACTTATGCAAAATTTTATTAAAATAGAACCATTTAAACTGGGTGTTCGGATTTATATGTCACTTAGTATACATTGCATGGGGGAACGGTAGCATCCTACCGCATGGAAGTCACACCCACGTCCATAACCAGGGGAACGGTAGCTTCCTACCGCATGGAAGTCACGCCTGATATGGAAATATAATACCTCGCACGGGGGAACGGTAGCTCCCTACCGCATTGAAGTCACGCCCGTGTCCATGATCAGGAGAACGGTAGCTTCCTACCGCATGGAAGTCACGCCCGTGTCCATACTCGGGGGAACGGTAGTTTCCTACCACATTGAAGTCACGCCCGATATGGATACCTTTATAATCGGTGCTTAGACAGATATGCCAAGTACTTGATTGTTACGAAAAGCAGCACAGAAATCAGGATATCACGTTGCCGTGTCAATACCAAAAAGCTCCGACGTTACCTCTGATTGAGAGATAACCGAGCAGTGGACA